CAGTTGGCGGACCCGGCTAGAGCGGCGAAGGAACAATGTAACCGCGTTCGTCTCGGGGGTTCGCGGGATTATTTATGCATCGTCTTAAGTTGCCTCTGATTTTGTTTTTGTTTTAACTCCTGCGTGACACAACCGGGACGGCTCCCGCGCTTTGCAAAAAAGGCGGGGGCCGATGCGCTCGACAGCGATGTCCCTTACCTATTAACCTAGACACAGGTAGTGGCATTTTGGTGAAGGATCTTAACCCAGCGCCGAAACGTCGGTCCGAAGTTCATTTTCTCCAGACATTTGTCTAGGAAATCCCAATCCACATGGTCATAAGCTTTTTCGAAATTAATGAAAATGATAGCCGCATTTGCCCGATTTCGTTACGTTAATTGGACCACGTCGTTTACCAGCAAGATATTTTCCTGTATATTCCTGCTAGATATGAATCTTGTTTGGGCCGGGTGTATGACCTCTTCCAAAACCGTTGCCATTCGGTTAGCCAATGCTTTGGAAAGCATTTTATAAACTACAGTGAGCAGAGTAATAGGCCTGTTATTCCTAATATTCATTTTTATCTCCTTTTTTATAAAGGAGAGAAAGCACCCTTTTTCCTACAATTTCCCCCATTTCCCCAGCCTCTCATACGTCCTGGTAATACTCCCACAGGTCGATGCTCAGGTTTGTCCATGTGGCTTCTCATAACTCTTTGGGAAAGCCGTCTATACTGGGGTTTTTTTCTTCCTTCATTTGGGGAAGAGTTGTCCATGCCTCTTCTTTTGTTAGTGGGATCTCCAATCTGTCCCGATGCTGAGGAGATATAAAACGGTCCATTGGGGATAGGAAATCTTGTATTTCCTTGATTCTTTTCTCCCCCTGCGGGGATGGGATATGAGAAGTATACAGTTGTTTGAAAAATTTCCTGGTGATCAACATGCAGTGTGTTGTGTCAGTGGCAATGGTGTTACTATCATCCGGGTCGAAAAAAACCTCAATAGTCGTCCGTCTAGATCTAGTGGTGGCCATTGAGAAAAATTGGGTGTCCATCGAAGCTTCGTGTGAAAGTTTAGTCATTTTCCCTCGGATTCTAATTCCTTGTCATCTGTGTAATGCGAGTTGCAAGAGCTGGTCTTTCTTGTTTTGGATGGCTGCAATAACATGATGCGGCTCTTGGGTGGAAGAAGTAAGATGCTGCGACTCTACCTGCTGTTCCAAGGTTATTAGTTCGTTGTGAGTGGTCATTTCTTAATCTTGTCGTAATGCTGCTTTGGCTTTAGAAAATTCCTTACATTTTTTAGCTAGGAAGATTAGACCATTGTTGAACCATACCAGACAAGAGTCAAAGAGTTGTTTCTGTTGACACCAAAAGTTTCATTCGTGCCTGATCATTTGCGAGAAAGAAGTATCTTTGAGCAGGGAGGTATTTAGTTTGTAAAACCCAGGTGCTTGATCGTGCATTTTCCTCATAATTAGTACTATACCACATGTCTTATGATCCAGACCGGATGCGGGCTTCGTGGGAGAATCAGTGACCATCGCAAAACCCCCTCCAGATCGTTGGATAGTAGGATAAGATCAATTCTAGATTTGGATAAACGTGCCGGGTCACTATCTCGTATGCATGTAAAGACTCGTGCTTGGGGGTGCAGGCGGCGAAAGGTATCGAAGACCGAAAGCGACCCGCAGAGGTCAGCTATCATTTGTTCATCCTCTGCTGCCGCAAAGGAAGGAGATTCCTGGGGATTCCATCTGTCTAGCCCCTTGTCGGGGGTAGCATTGAAATCATTCACCCTATATTAATCAATAATATACGATTGTCTGGATTCTCACGGAACTCCTCTGAAAAAAAATGGCAACAAAATCTCTTTCAATCGAAAATAAGTCGAAGCCTTCCACAAAAAAAATATGAGTTATTACCTCGGTAATCTAAAATTCAATTATCCTTGATTGGAATGGTACCAGATATAGCCTCTAACAAACCTTTCACCAAAACCTGAATTTATACCGGATCAAATTACGGAATCATTAAAATATTCAAGGAACTTTGTCCAAATGGTCCCAGCATCATCCCACTGGCGGCAACTCTAAAGTTGGGTAGCACCTCGTACGCGTACGTATTTCGATGTACGTGTACAAAACCAAAATCGTGCGTACTCGTACGTTAAAAAAAAAAAAAAAAAAAAAAAAATCTAAGACAAAAGTATGTTGTGCAGAATAATGATACAAACAACATTTGCCCAAAGGTCATACTCGAATTCTGAACCAAGCTCGATTAAAAAATCAAAAACCTTAACAAATCAAAAAAATATTTTTAAATAGTTTTTTTAACTTTTTTAATTATTATAATAATATTACCTTTTTTTTAATTTTTTATTTCTTACTCGAGTTTGGTTGGGAATTCGGGGATGAATCCCATGCAAAAGTTGTTTGTATCATGTTTCTGCATAACATTTATTTGTTATAGAAGTTTGTTTTTATTTTTGTGTGTTTTTTTCCTAGTTTTTTTTATAATTATTTCAAATTATTTGTTTTTTGTGCCTTTGATTTTTAACTCCAGTTTGGTACAAAATTTCGAGATAATTGTCAGGCAAAAGTTGTTTGAAATATAATTTTGCATAACATACTTTTTTTTCAGAGTTTTTCGATGACCTTTTTTTTTTTTTTTTTTTTTACGTATTCCTACGTACGGGAATACATGTACGCGCGTACGTGTCGCGTACAGGAATACGTGTACGCGTGTACGCGCATCCCGCGTACACGTACGCCGTGCTACCCAGCTCTAAAGATATTTTAGTCTCTCAGAATGGTACTGGAAAAGCTTTCGGCTAGCCTTTTAAACCCTAGTTGGCTAATACATTCATTTATTTAAAAAAAAGTCAGGCTTAACCCCCTAACGAGTCTTTCAAAATAAATAACCTCTTGGGCGGCTCAGACAGAATCTGAACCAACCATTCATGAGAGAAACCATTTATCAAAAGTCTTTGTCTAGGTTTTGTATCCCACTCTAATTACGAGTCATCGAATATGATATTTTTTCCTGCATGCCTTGTGATATGCGTCAAGGAGTGGTGTAATCCTCAAGGGATAACATCTCGACGTCAAGCCCCGCTTTAGACTCGAGCCTCACCACCTTCCCTTCGATTCCAGTGTCATGTGTTTGCTAGTCCCCTATCTGTAAGGTTGAACTACCCCTTCTCTATGACCTAGGCTGGTCAGACCCGGTCATAGAGGCGAGGCGACCCCACCCGTCACAAGGCCAAGGTGACCATTCCTTTCCCCATGGCGAGCGATAGTCGTCACCCTCACAAGCAAGATCCCAACAATCATAATAATACCTTCCTCCCTTTCAATGATAGTATAGTCATTCTTCTTAAAAAAGAAAAGTGTCAACATCTCACTATGGACCAGGAACAAAGTTCCGGTGCAGGCCTCACTACCATCTACGGAGCTCACTCCATTAGGACTCATCATAACATGATAACTAAAAAACATTACGAAAGTTCAAGAATGTGATAAATAATTGCAGTATATGCCTTTGTGAATAACACACGAGTTATCCTACAAGCTATATAATACAAATTACATACAATTATCCTATAACTCTTTACAACGAAAAATATACATCAAGTAGCAACATACATTTTTACAGAGAGTTCCATAACATTCATGTTCAAAAATATTCATAACTCGCATTGCATCACATTACATCGAAAAATGTGATAAACATTCATCCAAAATAAAGAATCGAAAGATTTTTAATACATTAAAAAAAAAAACGCAACACAATTCTACGAACAGAAGTCGTAGAAATTATTAATTATTACAAAATATGGAACCATAGGTCCCAAAATTAACTCCAAATCCAAAAAGTCCAAAGTTACTATTCCCCTTGTTCGTCCTCAGATAACAAGTCAGCAACTAGTGATCCCAAAGAATAAGAATAAGAAAGCCAAGTCCTCTATCATTAAAAGTTTATACTAAGTCCTTGGAATAAATTTTCTCAAATGTGACCCTGACACCCAATTTCTACCTCGAGCCCCATCCATCTCTTCGATCTCATAAGCTCCATGCTCAGATTTCCTAACAATACGATAGGACCCCAACCATCGGCTGTCCAATTTTCGAGACCATTGTTTTTCCAAGGACGAATCACAAAGAAGCATAATATCCCAGACTTTCAAAAGTTCCTTACGAACACGTGGTCTCTTATCCCATTTTTCCTTGACGGTCTGTCTACTCTTTGCAATAGAGGCAGCGGCCTTCGCAATTCTTTCCTCGATCACCATCACCTGTCTCGCCCTCAATTCCAACAATTCTTCCGTTGAAAGCTTCGTTTCCACAATTTGCTTCGGCCAAGTGGTTAGAAAACTTTCGATTGGAAAAGTTGCGTGTCGCCCAAACCACAATGTGACTGGAGCGTATCCAGTTGTCCGCTTTATGGTAAAGTTTCAACAAAGAATGTCGTTCGCAGATATATTGGTCATCTCGATGGATCATCCATGCACCATTTTGCCAACAAATTTGTTAGAGTGGCATGCCCACGCTCAACAGGCGCATTAGCCTGGGGATGTGCCCTTGTAGTATAGTTAAAGCTTACTCCAAGTTTTTGCAAAAGCGCTTGCACCTCCCCAGCTCGAAACTCACCACCTCGATCCATGATAAATTCCCAGACAAACGGGTACCGAAGATAATATTCCTCGATGCATTCTGCTAAAACATGCCAGTTCGCTCGCGAATGACACACCCATCAACGAACCCAGTCAGATTATCCCTTGCATTGAAGATATATTTGTACCTATTAATCTCAGGTGACATAACCAATAGATCAAGGTGTACTACTGCTCCTGGCTCGGCCACATAGCGTGGATTAAGAGGTTCAACAAAACGCAGATTAGATCGTCTTTGGCAAGGAAGACAAGATTTACATAAGTCATTTACCATCTTGTTCTTTCCTTTCCAAAAATAAAGATGTTGAATCTTTTTCAAAGTGACTCGCGCGGATCTATATCCGTCTGCGACCCCATGCAAAGAATCGATCTCATCCTCCTTCAACTCACCATTGAACCACATGCCCATCAATCTATACTCCTCATCATACTCTCATTCCCTAAAAGCTTCCCTAATCTGACTGCCTTCTGCTTCTTCATTCATCAGGCGGTCCTCGTGAATTAGAGAATCTACAAGGAATGACATTTCCCCAATGATCTTGAAAGTCTTATCGGCTTGCTCGTGCCCATACTCAATCGTCAGCGGTTCTTTGATAAACTCGACTTCATCAGATAAAGCCAAGCTCATCATTTGCTCTGATGTCCTTTCACCCCATGGATCCTCCTCAATGAATGGTTCTCCCATCACTAGCTCAGGCCGCACATGATGAAAGCTAGGAGCATTCCAAATAGTTTTCCCATGTCGAGCAACTGCATCCGCTAAGTAAGTATACGCGTTGATACTTAATTGCGACTCTTCTACCTCCAAGAACCCATCCACATGGATTGAATCCTTCGCCTCATCCGTCGACGAGTCCCAATCAACGCGACTCAACCCATCTGCGAGATTCTGAGTGTCTGAAATACGTTCAATTTCAAAATTGAACATCCAAATGTATGTCAGCCATCGAGAAATGGTTGGATCGGAAGGAGAATAGTTCTTCAACAATTGAGCTAGAGCCGTAGGATCGACTCGTAGAATGAACCGCCTGCCAAATACATGATTCCTGAAAATACGCAGACACTGAAGCACAGCGAGAGTTTCCTTCTTGAACTGGGAGTAGTTCCGCTCAGCAATATTCAGAGTTCTATTTTCGAATCCCAATGGTCGCTCTCGTCCTTCCCCATCCTTTTGAATCAAGACTCCTCCCAAAGTGGTAGGGCCTGCACCACTCTCGATGATGAAAGGACGACCTTCAACATCATCAAAATAAGGAACTCGCAAAATCTGGCCGCCTTCTTGAAATTCGGCCTTTATATCTTCAACGCTAGCTTGCTGGTTCGGTCCCCATTCCCAGATCTGATTCTTGCGTACTAATTTCCGCAAGTGTTTCACCCTTGCTGCGCATCTGCGGATAAAAATACGCCAAAATCTGCAAGTTCCAAGGAAGCTTCAAACATCGGTAATAAATCTGAAGGGAGTCGGCCACTCCAAGATCTTATTCGTCTTTTTGGCATCTGGCCGACGACTCTTCTCATCACAAAGGAATCCCAGTATTACCGCCTTCCTCATACCATGCGTTGATTTAACCCCACTAGCAGTGAGGTTATATTCCTTCAGTTTTCTCATAACCTTTTCCACATTTCTGACGTGTTTCCACACGAACTTTCGAACGCCAGGTAACACTTCAGTCTCATCCTTGACTCGAGGTACTCGGATGGCCAAATCATCGATATATGGAGAGGTCACGTCCGGACAAAGCGGCTGCATGACTCTCATCATATATCTCTGCACAATTGTCACGACATTTGTCCAACCCTGTGGAGCCGCGCACATATGAAGCAGTCCCCGAGGCGTATGCATCGCCGTCATAGGTCGATCCGTTGTGTACAGCGGATACTGATCGTACCTTGAATACAAATCAATCAGGGTGATGATGGGCCTGCCTGCACAAGATTCCGAGAGTTGGTCGGCGTTTGGAAGTCCGCCTGCATCTCGGACTGTCACAGAATTCAACTTCTGCAGGTCCTGAACCCATCGCAAAATACCGTTCTGCTTGATAAAGTAGAACCAAGGAGATGCATATGACCCGTATGAATAGTCAACCACTTTGGTCCAAACCTTACCATCAAGATAATTAACCACCTTCCGGTGATCATCCGGATTAGGATATTGTAGACCCTTCACATTCCATGGCTGATGCGGCACCGTATGGATCCGGGTCATCGGAATCATATCGATGTCCAACCTTCCACGCTCATCATCATCAAAGACATAAGCTAGATGAATCTTCTTCATAACGTCGATAAAAAATTGGGTTTCCTCCTTAGTGAGGAGGTCATACTCTCCGATGATCATCTCCTTGACCCTGCCATCTGTCAGCCGACACGGCCCTTTCTCACCCTTCTCCTTCAACGTTCTGATCCACTCACAGTCTTCCTTATAATACACCTCCTTTTCCTGAGTGATCAGAACTGGTACTGGTCGAGCCTTCTCGCCTACTTTCTTATACTTCCTTTTTGACCCAACGCTAAACTTCCGTCCTCTAAAAAAAACTCTTGCCTGGCTGATGGCAAAGATTCCTCCACTCGAGAATCATTTGGCCGATAGACAAGGTGCATGGTCCCTACGCCTCCTTCGTCAGCCACAACCTCCATCAGGGCTTGTACCAGGCTTGGATCAATCGCAGGATGGGTTGCTACAAAATCGATTGTCTGCGAGATTTCTTGCAATGTCAATGAAAACTCCTGAGGATCTCCTTTTCCTCAATCGTTTTTTTTTCCCTCCTCAACTTCTCTGACTCCGAGAAGGTATATGATTCGGGATTTAGCCGGTTTCTTGAATTTTCCGGCCCGGTATTCGCGCACCTCACGACTTCATAGTAGCCACAAACCGGATCGCACAAAGCCACAAACATGGTACCATCATGTTTGTTGAAGATTATGCTTTCCGTGCGACACTAAAATGATTTCTCCAAAAGCACCTCGTGTTCCACCTTTGGTAAAATATAAAAATATGATTTTGCGTTGACCTTCCCGACCATCACCATTATGCCGCAAACTATACCGCAAAACGGAGTTGCACCGCCGATTCCCACAAAAAATCCAAAATCATTGCGATTGATCTGTATTCCAGCTTCAATTGCATGTTTCTTTCTCATGATATTCATCTCGGCCCCATCATCTACAAGAGTAGAGAACTCTCCACGACCGATTTGAACTTTTATAAGACCAGTGGCTACACATCGCCAGTCCATCTCCGTTCCAGGAGGCGCCTAGTTAACTTCCGGAGGAATGATCTCACTTAGCTTAAATGTCATGACTTTCTTTCGACTCATGCGCTGCTTAAATTCCTCGAGAAGCTTTGACGAAACAGCAAGGATCTCCTTCAGGGTAACCAAGTCGCGTTGACTTTCCAGAATGCGATCCACAAGTTGTTCAAAATCAATCATTTTTTCCACCGGGATTGTGTATACATTCTTCTTCTTGCGAGGTTCCTCTTCCTCGACCTTAGCCTTCCCCGTTTCCGAATCCCTCTCCATAGCTCTCTGCTTTGTTAGCAGTTCATCCTCTGCACGCAATCTTTCATCCTCCTCCTCATCATCCCCTTCCTCTATCATAATAGGTTCCTTCTCCTGAGGTCCCTTTGAACTCTCCCCTAGCGTTGGTTGCGATTGCGAGATCTTCCTTTCCTTTCGCGTCTGTATCGTAATAGTTGGTGTCCCTCGCTTGAGCACAGGTCTCGACATCGTCATTGGCCGAGCCATCGACGTTGTTTCAGGTGCCGAAGCGGTCGCAGGTGCTGATCCATCCTGACCCTCGTTTCCCCTAGCCACCAAAGAGGAACACATTTGGAAGGTTAGGCCAAAATTTTTCCATGTCAACACATAAGCGAACAATGGAATCCCGACACTTGCCCAGTTTCCTGGTCACTTCTCATGCCCGATGAGCAATGTCTTCCTTCTTTTCCTCGAATTCTTTTTCCTCACAGTCACCAATTTCCAAAGAAGTCATTGTCTCTTCACATTCAAAAAGACTTACTTCTTCAGGAGAAGCTAAGCGGAATGTAGCCGGAAGAGGACGGTCCATCCGTCGAAAAAGCCTCTTTTCTCATTCCTCCTTCAATGTTATGATGGATGAGATTACCTTCGAAATAAAAAATTTATCCCCGAATCGTCATAAAAACGATCTGGTCCTTCTCATTTTTGGCGAGGATCTGGCAGAAACGAATAACGTGTCCTTTCATATCACAATATTTGCAGATATAGTCCTGCCAGTTCCCAGGTTTGCCACTGTTTCCACGGCCTCTACCACGGCCTCAACCACCCTGTGGTTGAGTCTGCTGACCTTGGCTTTGTTGCCCCTGGCCAACTTGCCGCTCACTGTTTCCATTTCCTCCTTCCTTACTATTTTCCCCTTGTTTACAACAAGTACCATGTTCTCCTCGTATTTGGTTAAAGGCTTTTCTCTCAGCCTTGGTCAACTTCCGATGGGGTTCTTTTTCCTCCTCACTGTTACTTTCACTGCTACTCTCTTCAGTAACTGGCTCCTTTCCTTTCCTCTTTCCAGTCTTTGCCTTGGCCATCATTACTTGGAGCTTTAGCCGCTCCTCCTTCATGCTGGTCATCATTTCCTTCATATCTCATAAGGTCTTATAGACCTTCTTGTCCTTATCCGTCCCCATATGTACTCTCTCCCGATCCTCCTTCTGCTGTTTCAGCAGTCGGTAGAGGATCTGGTCAAAGTTTCCGGCCAGCAAGTTCTCTCGAATATTTGGCCAGTCATATCGTCCTTGCATCCCTTTCACCAACTTTCACTGTTCTACCTCCGACAAATTGTCCAGGAAGATAAGACAGTGATCCTTGTCTAGGAGGTCAGGAACTCACCGCGCCACCCGCTCGAATTCAATAAGAAACTGCTTCGTCATTCCAAAGTTTCGGTGACTAACCTTCCTCAAATTCGCTAAGTCCAACAGTTGGTCGCTGTCGGTGTGAATACCCTTATAGAGGTATCCGCCCTAGTCTTTACAAACGACAAAAATAAGTTTGATTTAAAATCTAACTATACCGTGCGAGGCGCGACTAAGTCTATGGTTGACGTTTCACTAGATGATTGACTAGAGTAGAGAGTGTGTGGGCGCGTAGACTTAAGGCGCGCATGATCTCTTTTTATCCTTGATGATGGAAGAGTCGGCGTGGGTGCCGACCAAATTTTTTATTTTTGATTAAACTATGATTAAATAGATTTTTGTCGTTTGATTGGTGCACCTACCGGTGACTTGTGCGTACGTGCGAAGGAGGACATCGACGACAAGGAGGCCTTGAAGTATTTTCAGTAGGCCCGCGCGTCGCACGGTGTACGTTTATTTAGGCGTCCGTCAGAGCCAGACCCAGACTCGGGTCTGGCACTATTAGTTACGGCGTCGGACTTTCATCAGGAAGATTCAGGGATCAAAGTCAGCAAGCAACGACTTGAGGACATCAGAGCAGTATGAAAGAATTGGCGGGATGAGGGTGGCGAGGCTACCCCCCCTCCTTTTTGGTTTTGGCGTCGGCGGCGTCAGAGCGGTGCTGGCGTTTTCTTCTCTCCTTGATTCACTCTCTTCTAGCGGGCAAAAGCTTCCAAGTGTTTTTTATTATTTATGGGTGTACTATTATTATTTTTGCAACAAAGCTCTTAGATTCAGACGCGGCGCCGGAATTAGTGGTCGGCACGGTAGTCGAGGACCTTGAATGCACGCCCCGTTCGGTGGGTCCGCATGTTCTGGATGCTAGCGAAAATCCTCTAGCACGTCGTTGCTTAGAACACGCGCACCAAGGCAACAGACCCGTGCCCTAGGCCTAACGCCATTCATGTGCGGGCCGCCTGTCGGGGACCCGGGAGGGGACAACTCTGCTTGAGCAGAGCGGGCCATTAGAAGTTCCCTAAGGTGTTTAGCAGTGGCGCTGATGCAGGGCGGTAGCCGGACCGGGTATAGCTGGCAAACGAAACAATCGGATCAGACAGTTTGGAAGTTTGTTCTTTTCTGGCACTCCCCTGCTGGGCGGCAGATAGTAGATCGGTCCGCTACGGGGTCTCCCACCACTGGGCGTTGTTAGGGAGCCGCCTGGTCGGAAAAGGAACGAGTGGGAGCTAGGCGGGAGGAGACATTCAGCGCTGCGCTAGCCGTAACAAGGCAGCGCCGAGGCAGGTAGCGGGGGAACGAAAAGCGAGCGTGAAGGGACAGGCTGGGAGCTGGGCAAAGTTACGAAGAAGAAAAACAGAATAGCGAGTGAACCTCGACGATCTTCACGCTGGGTGCATGCAAGGTGAGCGGAGGATGGCGGAGCTATGGAGAAGGAGTCGGGCGGAGTCTGGGAGGCATCGCTTTCTCGATTCTTAGCGGAATCGGGAGGGGGAGGATGTCGTCCCGGGGTTTAGGCCCCGGGCGAATCGTATGAGCGTGTTAGTTTCAGTGCTAGGTGAAAGGATTAGGAAGTTAGCGAGAAAAGTCGTGCGCTGAAATAGAGGAGGACGAGGGAGATGGTGAACAACGAGGGTGGAAAAGGCTTTTCTCGACCGATTCATCATGAAATCGGCCCAGAAAAGGTGGTAGATAGGGGTTTTGAGACAAGGCGAACTAGATGATGAAGTTAGATTGAGGAGAAAGTCAGTACAAGGGCGGAAAGAAAAGAAAAAGGGTGCGCTGAGCTGTTGGACCCATGGCTATGGAGGAAGAAGAAATAAGTAACTCACTCGATATTCAACGACATCGAGCGAACCAGAGCTCGATACTGGGGTTTGATGGCGGTACGAACGTAATGTCACCGTTAGTTGTGCTGATGGGTTGGTGGTTTGGCCAAAGGTGACGCGAAAGCCTGCGCCCAAGAGGGAGACACAATTACGGGGGAGTGTATCTTTCCATACTCTAACGGAAGATTCATTCGGAGTTCCGCTTGGCCTATCGGAGTGAGTAGAGGGGGGCCAGCTGCAGGGTCGGATGCTTACCTGTTGGCCGATGTGTTGCTCAGCGGGTCGATGAAGAGAGGGGCACGAGCTGGAGAGTCGTCGATGTATCTTCCCACTTTGTAGTGGAAGACTCATCCAACTTTTGCCCATCTCAGCAGCGGAAGAGGTGTGAAGCGGACTGACGGGCTGAAGTCTTACTCGTTGGCCGGCGCGTATCATCTGAGGGGAGAGGGTAAAAAAGGGGCGAGTTATGCCTCCTACCTGCCCGAAAACACAGACTGAGAGGTCCCGCAGGTTGCGAGACAGTGGATACTAGCTCACGAGGCAGGAAACAGTTGACCAGCAGGCCCCCTCTACTGATGTACTRCCMGCYAACCAAGGCCTGTAATGCAGAGTGATGGGGATGGTGGTGCATGGTAGTTATCGAGCGGTGAACTGAGTTGACTGGTTAGCTCCGCCTACGAACGATGCTCCAGGCTGCTGAATAGCTACGTAGGAGCCCTCTTAGCAATGACCAACTACTTGGAGGGACGGTTGGATGATCAGCCAATAGAGGGTAAGGAGCTAACAGCCTGAAGGCTCCGAGGTCTCGCTAATTACCGCTATGGGAGTCTAGATACTACCGTGATCAGGCAACCACTTCGAATTGTTGATTGACTGGGCAAACTCCTACAGTGGTTGACTCTGCGTGGTTGCTGCTTCCGATTGATTATGCACGGTTGCTGCATCTATGCACGAACCGCTGCTGCGGCCGTGCACGAACTGTAGCGGACTAGGCACGGACTGTTACTGTTGCTGTTAACCGCCGCTGTGTACTGCCGCTGCACCTGCTGACTATGGCTGGCTGCTGCACGTTGTGCCATGCTGCCGCATATTACGGGTATACCGATGCGTATTTTGGCTGACTGTTGTGTACTCCGGACCTGTTGATCTATACTGATGTGTATTGTGGACCCACTGCTGCGTTTGATTGATGTGCAAGCTGCTGCCGCGACTGTTGACGGGTCACAAGCTGTGGCTAGCTACTGATGACTGCTATTGCTGCTGCCTACTGTTGGCTGCGGTACGCTACTGCATACCACCACAACCGGTTGATGTCTGCTACAGCCTTTTGTGCAGCAATGATTGGACTTAGAGGGTTGACTGAGTTTGGGAAGGAAGGGTATTGCTGCCAGCTAAGAGATCGACAGAGGATTGACTTTGACGAGTGGACTTCAGAAGTTGACCAAGTTGTTACTAGTTGGCCATCATTGCGGGGCCCTTAGGCGATTGAAGGTATCAAGGCCCTCTCCGAAGAGTTGAGTTGTCCCCTTCTTGTATCTCGAGAGTCTCAGACGCCTTATCTTCTTCCCTTCTTACTCTAAGTCTAGTCCTGTTCTGAAAGGAAGGCGGTAGGCGGGATTGCAACCCGTAGGACTACAACAAGACTCTGTGGGGAGTCATCCCACCGAATGCGGGAGCTCTGCCGGAACTCAGAAGGAGTTCTAGAGGCAGGGAACCAAAAGGTAACCTTTACTCCCTCTCTATAAACCCGGTATAACCCTTATCTGTATTCCCTATGAGTTGACTGAGTATATTGCATGCCCCTTTACCTKGACTTTCAGTTTGACTTCAGGACATAAACCAGACTTAATAAAGGAAGTTATGCGCAATGTCAGTTTCAGTTTCATTGTCTGATTGAAAGCAGATTGTGGAGTTGCACCTGGGGGTAGGATAGGAGAAAGGCGGTGTTGCATGTGTTTGACTGGGTCAACCAAAGGATGGGCCAGTTCCATAAGTTTGGGAAGGCTCAGTGCTATGTTTATTTTTGAATTGCTTGGAGAGTCAGACATCTTCCATAAGTTTGGGTGGTCTGGTTGCTCTATTTTGTGAGGGCTAACTGTGGTTGACTTTTCAGGGGCCAAGCATGTTCCATAAGTTTGCATAGCTTGGTCGCCTTGTTTACTTTGAGTTTTCGTCAGTTTCTTTAGTTCCAAAACGAGGAGGTCTGAGCATGTTCCATAAGTTCGGGTGGCTCAACCTCTTCCTGCTTTGGCTTAGAGAGAAATGAACCAGGCTGAGGATCAAGACATGTTCCATAAGTTTGGGTGGTCTTGGTCCAATGCCTCGCATATGCTAGAACCGGAAGGTTGTAAACTGGCTATGCTTTATTATTATATTATCTATGAACAGGCTAGTCAGACAGGTTTCCATAAGTTTGGGTGGTCTGACTATAGCTTATCACCAACTGAAGAGAGTATGAAGTAAGAATAAAATTGGGGTACGAAGGGGCAGACTGACAACAAAAAAAATGTGGGAAAATTTTATGAAGTTTCCAACTCGGTCGCCGCACCGGACCAGCATTGGAACGACGACAAATGCTATGGCCAACCGTTGGAGCATCACCGTTTTATGTTTCCAACCGTTTGATCAACACGCGGCCGACGTGTTTCCAACATTTGTTCAACGTTGGTCCAACGTCTTTCCAACACGTTTCCAACACGTGTGCGTTGAAACAAAAGTGCTATCAGGTTCTCATGACCGAAGTTGACTACTGCGGGCCAATTTAGGCACAATCGCATTGAATCCACCTGAATTGGCCCGCAGTTGTCAACTGGTGGGTTTGGAGGAGGTGCGCGGGTCAACAATTATGAACGCGCACCGAATACATCAAAAAATTGGAGCCCACGAAAGAGGGTCGCACCCCCGGGCAAAGGAAGATGAGGCCGGTCGTAGTTGAATGCCCGCGGAGCTCCCTCCGCGGACGATTCCGAATCCTGCTGCATGCGCAGTGATGCGCTCGAGCCTCGGAAGGGGGCGAACGGTTCGCGGCTATTTGTTTAGCGTGGAATGAGATGGTGCCCATGCAAAGGAACTGCCCCCCGCACTTCCTCCTTTGTGCACATCGCCAAAAAACCCTAAAAGAACGAAAAAAAAAAGAAAAAGAAAAAAAAAAAAAACGGAAAACCAGGTAGGCGAAGGGAAAACGCCGGCGACTACATAATGTGATGGAACGACCTCGCTATGGTTGGTCCACCCACGCTCCCATGCCCATCGCCCCCTTTTTTATTTTTTTGTTTTTTCTTTTTTTTCCCCGAAATTGATCGCGCCTCAGAGTAAGGACGTCTCCYTCGAAGGCRGTGTCGTCGCTGCGCRGTCCGGACTCACCAAATACGATGTACRGCGTTGTGCTGCAGGGCGGGGGAAATTATGTCCCCTGGTAAAAAAACATGCGTCGCTTCCCCGATCCCCGTCGTTTATTATTAAAATGTTTTTTTTTTTTTTTTGTCCGCGTGTCCTCCCCCACCCGCATTCCCCCACCAGAGCCGAACACCCCGCCATGCCGCCTACCACGAGTGTGGTGTCCGACAAGGCCCCATGCTGCAAACGGTCCATTTTAAAAAAAAATTAGGGCCTCTGAAGCGGCAGTGAGGGTCGTGGATGTTTGGTTTTTTTTTTTCCATTTTGTCTTCAGGCGTTGCACTAGCGTAGCCACATCCAGGCCTGTTGTGGTACTGGTGCCTCTTCACCCTACTGGTTGTTCACTACCGGTACCTTTTTCATGACGGCCTGTGCTATCGTCGTTTGGGCCTGCAACACATTTTTGCCTTTTACCCACTAGTACCCACTTCCCTCACTCAGTCTGTCTTTTCATTCTTGTTGATATTCCTTCGTTTTCTTGTTGCCTTCAACTGCCACCTTCGCCGTTCTCACCTTCTTCTTCGTACACCGCGTGGCCGCACTCGACCAGCTTCATTGTGCTTGTCCAAGCCTGTGATCATGAGTGAGCGAGCGAGAGCGAGAGAGAGAGAGAGAGAGAGAGAGAGAAAGAGAGAGAGAGAGAGAGAGAGAGAGAGATCT